GAAATAGAGTATTGATATAGAAACATAAAAAAATAAAAATAAAAAGTTAGACAGAATTTGTATATGGAAGTGCATTAGCCACAAAATCTTGATAAAGAATGGCAGTTGAGTCAGGATTGCATAAAACAATGAATAAACAAAGAATTTTCTACACGAAAAAAAAAGAATAAATAAAGAACGACTCGGAAAAGGATCTGTGCAGAAGGAAGTGTCATGTATCAGTACACCACCTCTTCCCCCACATTTTTAGCTTAATTAATTCAAGTTCAACCATGGAGAAGGGTTGTGACCATTGTGTGGCTCGTAATCAAATGTGAGGGAGAGAACCAGTGGTGCCGTTGTCACCTGTCTAGGTTAATTAGTTCTAACTGCCTCAGCCATCCTTGAGTCTTGATCTTGAAGTCTTACCTACTCAAAATTGGGCCTGTTTGGTTTTTGTTCAAGCTTGGCTTGAAAACTTAACGAGCTTGAAATTGTGTTCAACCTTGGTTTGTTTACATAAAGAATCGATTTCAAATGAATTTTTAACAAGCCAAACACGAGTCGAGTTCGAGTAGGTTGATTTGTTTAACTGCCCTATCTACTAGAGCTGGAAGAATTTCGGAAGGGCCAAGACATATTCAAGGTCAATACGTTGTTGTATCCCTGTGAATATTTCTTTTTCTAACCAAACAATTACTAGTACACCTATTGTGAATCCTAACCTTGATTTACTGTTGACATGAAATATTTTTCAATGTTTTAAGTTACATGGCTGTGTCGTTCTCACGTTACAGGGGAAAATCTGAGAACAGAGACTAAGGATCAAAGGTTGCATGAAGAATTGATAATTCCCACTGCCAAACTATTTGTATGATCTTCCTGCAATTCCACACAAAATCCTAGATAATAGGGAGGAGGCACAATTTAAACCACATAATCTGAGATTACATATGGTAAACTATTTTAAGTACTATTCTCTACAAATAAACTCAAGATCATGTTGTTACAAAATGTTAAATAATGGAGTTGTTGACAATGAAACTAATGTCAGCAGGACATAAATCATTTATCCTCATTTTGCTAAGTTCAACGAATTTGCATTATATTTGTAAACCAGTCCAGTAGTTTGGATCTGATGTGGCCGTGAGGCAGGGCCAGCGAGGTTGGTCTTCATTTGGACAGTCATAAATTAATGGATGTATTTTCTTGATACCTTTGATTTACATATGCTTGTGTGCCTAGCCTATTGCGCTGCGAGGAATGTAATTTTAAATTGGGCTAGGCTTGTGTTCTCTCTTATTTGAGATATGTGTGCCCATATGGATTCTCTCTCTTTAGGTTGTTTGAAACCGCTGTGTGCGTAGTGAAACCCTAGTTCCTGACAAAATAGGACAGGGCAACCCTACCCCTTCATAGGGGTGTTTTGGCTCTCATTTGCTTGCTATGTGCTTTTAGAGTGTGCCTCTACAAGAATGCATGTATCAGTTTGCAAGTCTGGGTATCAGGCCGGTGGGCATCAGTACCAGTATTTGGGAATCGGTTATATCCGCGGGTATCAGATTCAGTGTTGGGGCAGTAATTTGGGGAACAGTGATCAATGGTCGAATACATTTATTCAGCTATGCTTATGTTTGTTCTGGTGAAAATTGGGCTGTAGCCCAGAACTCTGTGAGTAACAATTGTGTAAAGATATGTTCAACTGATTATCTTTTGAATACTGAACTGAACTGTTTACTGAACTGGTATTACTGAGTGAATGTATGTCCTTTATTTCTGAACTGTACTGTGCATCCTTAGTACCTACGGTTTACTGTATTGTTACTGTTACAGAGATCTCTGTCGGTTCCCTCGTGGAACCACTAGTGTTTACTGACTGATGGCCATCATTACTGTTCGGTCTTTTAAGACCTACTGTTACTGTTATGCTAATGGATGTACCACATATGACTGTTTACTGTACTGAACAACTGAAATACTGATTGAATTGAACTGTTTTCATTACCGTAAGGACATTCATTCTAAACCTCTTTACGCATTATGTTATTCACTGGGCTTTAGCTCACTGTTTATATATATATGTAGGTGCTCAGCCACCAGATCGGAGCTAGGAGCGTGGGTTAGACTCCAGTTTTGTCAAGCCAGCCTTTGTGCCTCACTGCGAGGTTCCGAGTTGCCATGCTATGGCTTTGGGGTGTCTTGTTTTTCCCCCGTCTGTCTCCATACTGTTTGGATTACTGGATAGACTGTTAGCTGCTAACCGTACTGTTATCGAGGGATTAGGTCCCTGTACTGTGTGACTGTAAATTTTGTATAGACTGTACTGTTTGTATATGTGAATGCATGAAAAATCTTTTTGGCATACAGACTGACACAGCTCAATGGACATTATTCATTTACTGTATTGGCTTCCGCCAGGCCCTGTACTTTGTTTTACTGTACTACTGTTCTGCAGGCCTTTGGTAATCTCGGATTACTAGCCGGTTACGGTGCTAAACCCATAGGGTCGGGTTTGGGTCGTGACAGTAATAAAAATACATAAATCCTTTCACATAACATAAGCATAATAAGGAAATCATTTAAGAAAATAATTATAACCACGGTACACAACAAACAGATGTATGGATTCAAGAGGTAGCTCGTATGAATTCTAAAAATGGCTCCCACAATAGTGTAGCAATTAGCTCTACACAGCACTTTGCTGCATACCAGAATATAATAAAACATAACAGATGTATGGATTCAAGAGGTGACTCTTACGAATTCTAGAGGTGGCTCCCACAATAGTGTAGCACTTAACTCCGCACAATACTTTGCTCCGTACCAGAAAACATAGTAGATGTATGGATTCAAGAGGTGGCTCATACAAATTCAAAAGGTGGTTCTCACAATAATGTGGCACTTAGTGTCGCACAACACTTTGCTCCACACTAGAATTCAGAGGGTTAGTGGATCCATGACAACAGAGGGTTACTTAAAGTCATAATACAAAGGGCCAAAGGTTATTTAACTTCCCCAAGGCACAGGACCTCCATGGTGGTACTTACAAAATAATTATGAAAAACACAATTAATAAGCAGTTGTATTCGTGGGTTTTCCATTTTTAAAGCAAATATGGTTCATTTAACAAATAATATACTTTTAAAAACTGATATGATTTGTAAAACATATTTATATAAAACAGTTTATGGTAACTCAAAATATAATACAACTCATCTCAAACTTGTTCCTTTACTCTCACTTCTAACTTCGACTCACTCTCTCTAATTCCCCTCGTTTGTTATACTTGTGATTTCATTACCATGTAACTCACCTATTTATAAGTGAGAAGACCCTTATTATGCAGTACTTTGCAACACTATTGTCACGACCTAAACTCGCCCCCATAGGTTTAGTATCATAACCGGTCAATAATCCTGAGATTACTGAAGGCCTTTGAAACATATTAAGCAGATTAAGGGGCTAGCGGAAGCAAATAACAGATATACAACGTCCATAAAGCTCTGCAGACTTATATGGGATAGAAAATTTAACTTTATATTTATATATTATGACGTCATACCTGCGACATCACCAGTACAGAGAAACAAAAATAGACTTAAGGGTTGTTTGAGATGAACTATATAAATACACTTTTTGACTTTTTAGCTACAAAAGTAGAGAAAAAAATATGGTTGTTTAGGATAACTTTTTAACTTTTTACGAAAAAATGTGTATTAAAATATTGTATGAAATACCAAAATTACCGAACTACCCTTCTGACATGCACATTTGCTTTCATGTATGTCAGTGAATTGTGTACATCAATTCAGTGCACTTTGCTTTTGTTTTTTGTTTTTTTTTTTACTTTTTTTTTTCACCCGGGCATGTTAGAGGAAAGGACAAAAGCAAGGGCAATTCTGTCTTTTTGCCCTTTGATTTTATGCCACAGTTTGCTGCCCAATGTTTGTGAATAGTATAAACTTTTTTGCTTTTTTAGTGACTTTTTTACCTCTCTTTTTTTTTTTTTTTTTTTTTTTTTTTGATCTTTTTTAAGTTATCCCAAACAAGCACTTAGCCCTACATACAAAATAAACAGAAGAAAATAAAACAAACATAGGATTTGTTCACATGATTCACAAAAGACTTTCAAGAACCTTCTCGGGAATCGCACTAGTTAGTTGACACAAACAGATCCAGACTGGAAGTCTCAAGCCTGGTCACACGCCTAATCACCTACATACATAATATAAACAATGAGCTGGAACCCAGTGAGTAACAACAGAGTATAGGTTTTATGAATGATATCCATAACAGATTCAGAAATCAGAACTCAAATCAGAAACAAATTCATATACATATTTAGATTTGTGAACAATCATACGTGGTACATCCATTAGCGCTAATAGATCCGAATTGTCATAAAGACCCATATACAGAACAGATGGTCATTAAGACCCATATTCATATCAGACAGATGACATTACAACAAAAACCACTTTTAGCGACCTGTTTTTTAGTCACCAAAAGTGTAATTTTGGTTGCTGAAAGTATCCGCGACATGAACAAAATTGGTCGCTGAAGCCCTGTCACTAAGTGCTTTGGTGACCAAATCAATTTTGGTTGCCTTTATAAATAAATTGGCGACCAAATATTTCCGTCGCCAAAAGACTAAAATTTCGTCGCCATAAATTAACATTTAGTCACCAAAAGTAGCCTTCAACTGATGACATGTTAAGTTTCAGCGACATATAAATGCGTCGCTAAAAATATCTTTCAGTGACTAAAAGAATTGGTTGTTGAATGTTAAAACTTTTGGCGACCAATCAAGTTTTGGGTCGCTAAAAAAATTGACACATACTTTCAGCAACATAAATAAAATGTCACCAAAAGTAAACTTATAACTAAAAAAACCTGTCACCAAAAATTCATTATTTATAATTTTTTTTAACAATTTCCCTGTTCAATAAATAATTCATAAACCTATAAACATAAGCAAAATGTAATTCAAATTAACACACTTATGCAAAGCATCCAAAATATAAACTTAATTCAAAAGTAGTACCATATTAAATATAAACCGCATATCAAATCCAAAACATCCAATTTAAGTACAACTCTCTTACAATCCCAAACTTGAAACATGTAATGCCCAAAAACCTTCTAAACTTGCAAATTCATAACCAAAAACCTATGACAAAATATATCAAAAAATTCAAAATGTAATCCTTTGATGCTCCCCGAACTATATGCTCCCCAAAACTATATTTCATCCATTGCCAATTTGTCAAACATGTGAAAAAAACTTCAAACATGTAATTCCAAAAAACTTTCCAAGCTTGCAAATTCATAACAAAAACCTATGACAAAATATATCCAAAAATTCAAAATGTAATCCTTTGATGCTCCCCGAACTATATTCCATCCATTGCCACCAATCTGTCAAACATATGAAAAAAAAAGTTATAATGTTAAAATGTTAATAATAAAGGTCTTGGTCTAAAAACATTGGTTTCACATTATAGATGAACAAACAGAGAGCAAATTTTCCTACGGTGAATTACAAAATTTCAACATACCAAAATCAAAAAGTAACACATGATTCACTAGTTAAACTTGGCATATATTCCCAGACTCTACAAATGGATTGAAGAGTATGTTAATTGCTCTGTCATCAAAGAACATCTGCCACCCAGAGAGAAACTACTCGTCTTCGCCAAAACATATTTTCAACAAAAATAAAAATATGCAGTTTTGAATTGCAGACCGGTTTTCTTTTCTATGTACTACTAGTTCTTTTGTTCTGTGTTGCGAATTAATTGAAGTACTTTAAATTTCTATGTATAAGGAGCTAGTTATCGCTCTTGTTTCATTTCAAATAAAAAACGATATTTTTGTATACAAGCTATGAAAGAGTAATGGTGTGCATTAGAAATAGAGTATTGATATAGAAACATAAAAAATAAAAATAAAAAGTTAGACAGAATTTGTATATGGAAGTGCATTAGCCACAAAATCTTGATAAAGAATGGCAGTTGAGTCAGGATTGCATAAAACAATGAATAAACAAAGAATTTTCTACACGAAAAAAAAAGAATAAATAAAGAACGACTCGGAAAAGAATCTGTGCAGAAGGAAGTGTCATGTATCAGTACACCACCTCTTCCCCCACACTTTTAGCTTAATTAATTCAAGTTCAACCATGAAGAAGGGTTGTGACCATTGGAAGGATCATCAGGCATTCCCTGCATATACCACAGATCAGGTAACAAACTACAACCTTGTCTATTCATTGATGACAATTTCATTGTAATGAACCAAAATAAATAAATAAATTATCATACAGGATTATCCAGGTTTCCGTAGAAATTTTCTCCTTCAATGATTGAAGGCTTAATATCTATGGGTGTTTCCTACAAATCCCAAACAAAACCTTTGGGTAAATCAAACATCACCACCATCATTATTATTATTATCATGTCTGGCAATGACCAATTAATATTTGGTCATAATTCAACTCACCATGAACTGAAAAAAGAAGATACGAGTCATAGAACCACAAGAAGATTTTAAATCAGGCTGCCAAAAGGGGAAGTAATAGACCTTCCAATAATAAGGTGTTACAGTTGTCTTCACACAAAACGTACCGGTTCTATTTGGTCCAAACAAAGATCCCTCCCTCCCTTGCTCAGATCTCTCAGAGTTCCCTGCCCTCAAATGAATTTTTAACAAGCCAAACACGAGTCGAGCTCGAGTAGGTTGATTTGTTTAACTGCCCTATCTACTAGAGCTGGAAGAATTTCCAAAGGCCACGGCATATTCAAGGTCAATACGTTGTTGTATCCCTGTGAATATTTCTTTTTCTAACCAAACAATTACTAGTACACCTATTGTGATTCCTAACCCTTGATTTACTGTTGACGTGAAATATTTTTCAATGTTTTAAGTTACATGGCTGTGTCATTCTCACGTTACAGGGGAAAATCTGAGAAACTAAGGATCAAAGGTTGCATGAAGAATTGATAATTCCCACTGCCAAACTATTTGTATGATCTTCTGCAATTCCACACAAATCCTAGATAATAGGGAGGAGGCACAATTTAAACCACATAATCTGAGATTACATATGGTAAACTATTTTAAGTACTATTCTCTACAAATAAACTCAAGATCATGTTGTTACAAAATGTTAAATAATGGAGTTGTTGACAATGAAACTAATGTCAGCAGGACATAAATCATTTATCCTCATTTTGCTAAGTTCAACGAATTTGCATTATATTTGTAAACCAGTCCAGTAGTTTGGATCTGATGTGGCCGTGAGGCAGGGCCAGCGAGGTTGGTCTTCATTTGGACAGTCATAAATTAATGGATGTATTTTCTTGATACCTTTGATTTACCATATGCTTGTGGCCTAGCCTATTGCACTGCGAGGAATGTAATTTTAAATTGGGCTAGGCTTGTGTTCTCTCTTATTTGAGATATGTGTGCCCTTTGGGGTTGGTTTGGGTACCCAAGGGTACGTGTACTGGGCTTCATTGTCCAATTTTTCCTTTTTGGTAATAAATGCTTACTTTACCAAAAGATAAGCCATTTCTTGAAAAATAAATAAATAATAAAAAAAATAAAAAACAATTGAAATTTGATGAAACCTAAGAAGTATGGACACGGACACGGACACAACACGTGGAGGACACGTGCAAAATAAAGTCTAAAGGAGAAGAATATATACAAATTTAGATTATTTTTGTTTTATCATTGAATTTAAAGTTATTTCATTTAAACTTGTAATGTGTTTCATGTGTATCTAAGTATTCAGAAGTGTTCGCCGAGTGTCGTGCCATGTCGGCATCGGACACAACACGTTACTTTCTTAGAAATATCCATGCTTCTTAAGATGAAACAGTGACAAAAATTCACTCTTGAGATTTGGTTACACCTTACCTCTATGAAAATTGGATCTCAGGTTCACTTCAACTCGCGATTTACTCAGATCCCAGGAAAATAAAAGGAAAATGCTCAGACTATACAGAAATGCTTATTTGGACCATAATGGTTAAAGTCAAACTTTGTCAAAAAACTAACATTAGTAGTTAAAAAGCTTGCATGGAGCATAAATATGTACACAACGTTATACTTATTTTATGAAAATGATGTCATGGAATTTATCGTAAAGCTAATGTTGGAATCGAGAACATACTTCCTCATCTGGATTTATAGGACTGCCAGTTTCTCCTGTTACAGCCTTGGAAGGATCATCAGGCATTCCCTGCATATACCACAGATCAGGTAACAAACAACAACCTTGTCTATTCATTGATGAAAATTTCATTGTAATGAACCAAAATAAATAAATAAATTATCATACAGGATTATCCAGGTTTCCGTAGAAATTTTCTCCTTCAATGATTGAAGGCTTAATATCTATGGGTGTTTCCTACAAATCCCAAACAAAACCTTTGGGTAAATCAAACATCACCACCATCATTATTATTATTATCATGTCTGGCAATGACCAATTAATATTTGGTCATAATTCAACTCACCATGAACTGAAAAAATAAGATACGAGTCATAGAACCACAAGAAGATTTTAAATCAGGCTGCCAAAAGGGGAAGTAATAGACCTTCCAATAATAAGGTGTTACAGTTGTCTTCACACAAAACGTACCGGTTCTATTTGGTCCAAACAAAGATCCCTCCCTCCCTTGCTCAGATCTCTCGGAGTTCCCTGCCCATTCAACAATATGGTGAAATAAAACAAGAAACCACCGCAAAGGACAAAAGAAAAAGGAAGCCATGATTTGTATGATTTAATAACAAGAATAAAACTCAATCCAAAGCCAAACTCAGAACATGTAGGTACCAGGATTTTGGGGAGAAACATTTCTCTCAATAATAACAAAATAATCACCATCAATAACAATTTTAGTCACCTAATGTTACCCAACACATTTATTAATTTTTTACATAATTTCCGTCAAATGAAAACAAGATTTCACAAACACCATCATATTCATCATTTACAAACAGGGAATTTGCAGATAGTGATGCCCTGGTGAACATTTTTTTAATTAATTTTGTTATATGCCTCTACTAATGGCCCCGTTTTTAGCAGGATATGACAAGCATAGAGTAGATTCAACAGTAATAAATCATGTGCAGCTTGTCAAAGATTTGAGAAATTCGAATTCAACTCAATTACCTAAACGAGCTGAGGTTAAAGATTTAAGAAATTCAAATTTAACTCAATTGCCTAAAGGTGCTGAGGTCAAGGACAAACTAGAGCTTTGAAAAACAATTAAACTTGAATTAATATACACTTTCAGAGAGAGAGAGAAGATTACAAGCATAATATTAAAAAAATGATGATATCATTAACAATTTTCATATATCAAGTAGAGAGAGAGAGAGAGAGAGAGAGAGAGTTGTTACCAATTGCTACAGTGGCAAAATAAGTTAATTTAGCCTAATACATGAATCCTAATATATCCTAGGTCACAAATTTATCAGCAAGTAAATAAATGACATTAGACCAAACTCCAAGAAAGAAGAGGAAAAGCCAGTGCATGTTCAATAGATCTCTAAAATTCAGATTGAAACATGGACGTGAATGGGGAGAAAAAATCCATCCAAAGGGAGAAAAAAAAAGAAAAAAGAAAAAAAAGAACACAGAACAAAAAGAATCAATCCACAAACAACACTTCAATGGGGAGAAAAAATGAATCAACTAAACCGATTCTTTTCTATTTCATTTTCCTTTTTTTCTGCTCTTTTTCAAAAAACTTCTAAATGCAGCAAAAATCGACCAAAAACAGCAGCAAAAACAACACCGAAACAGCCCAAAAACAACCCCAAAACAGCCAGAATAGCAGCAGCATAGGGCAGAAAAAAAAAACAGTAAGTGGAGAACTACAACAGCACTGCAGCAGCACAGAACAGAAAAGAAAAAAAAAATCAATAAGAGTAAAACTGCAGCAGCACAAAGCAGAAAGAAAAAAAAAAATTCAGTAAGTGTAGAACTATAAAAATATGAAAAAGTCTTTCGTTCTTCAGGCTATTCTTTCAGGTTGAATTTGGCAAATGCTTTTTTAGTATCTTTAAAACTTAATTCCCAAACAGGCACAACTTTTTTGGCTAAAAAACCAGTGCTATTTAAGCCATGGCCAAACAAAGTAAATAAAAAAAATTGAAACAGAGCTTAGTTATATATTTCTAGCCTCATATCATCTAGGTGATCTCAACCCAATATGAAAAACTCAGTACAGATCAAAGCTATGGCTCAACTAACTCAGATGTGACAATTAGAAAGTTAGACATTCATCATTTGAGTTCAACAACCAATATCACTTCCAAAAGGTGCATATAATTGTCACTGATAAATCTAACATAGCCTATTGTTTATATTTTGCTCTTACATAAAATAATATTAACTGATCTAATGGTCTGTGTGTGTGTGTGTTGGGGGGGGATAGTAGATGCCAATCTCAGTTATGTGTTCATGACCTGATCAAAACCAAAATAATGGTAGAGAATCAGATGTTAAAATAAGCTTAAATATATTCTTTACGCTAATTATCTTTAATTTGATTTAATTTTTCATCATAAAAATTTCAAACTTTTTAACGATCACTGTCATTGTCCATGCAGGCTAACATGTTTGTGATCGATCAACACACTTATCTAATGCAGAAATAGTCCCCAAGAACAAATGCAAAACATGATATTCCCAAATGCCAAGAAACTAATGTTTCATAGAATAAATACTTCATCATGATGATCAATAGTAAATGGAATCACCAAGCCAAGGTGGAACAAATTTAGTGGCAACCATAACATATTCTCGAAGGTTCTATTTCTTTTTTTGCTTAGAGCAGGAAAAAAAAAATCAATTAGTGTAGAACTGCAGCCACGTTATTTCTTTTTCTAAGTGTAGAACTGCAGCACAGACTAGAACAACAACCACATTTTTTCTTCTTCTTCTAAATTTGTAGAACTGTTGCACCAAATAATTTTCTTCTGGAAGTGATAAAATTTCATGCAATCAATAAGTGTAACCAATTAAAAGATAGAAGAAAAAAAATGTACTCCAGATGTTTAGCTCTAGGCTTCAACTTGGGTAGTGTAGAAAATTGAACACTTCTCAAAACATGTTATATATGTTTATTTATTAATGCTTGAACTAATTAAAACAACAACAACAACAAACAAACATGAAATGATTACAATTATTATTGGAGAAGCTCTTCACCACATATCAGTCCCAAAATCAGTCCCAAAATTAGTCCCAAAATTAGAATATCAGTCCCAAAAAAAATTCAAAATCAGAATATCAGACCTAAAATCAGAATATCAGTCCCAAAATCAGAATATCAGTCCCAAAAATCAATAAAAATTGATCAAATTTACTGCATCAAAACAAAGAAATTCAATCATCCCAGAACAAAAGTGGAAAAACAAAACAAACCCAGAAACAAAAATTCAATAATCAATGCATTCACACGAAACCCATTAAAATTTTCAATAAACCCATGTCGATATGAGCAATCAAAATCAACCCATAGATCGATAAAACACAAAAACACAAATTAAATAATTTTTATATATATACATTCAGTGTGTATATGCACGTAAGAGATCTCAAAGTGAGGAAAATCTGAGATTTATTATGGGAATTGCTCGATCGAGACATACCCGATTGGAATATCAGAATATCGGTCCCAAAAATAGTCCCAAAATCAGAATATCAGTCCCAATATCAGTGCTGTGTTGTGTTCTTCCATGCCGAACAAGAGAATCAAATTGAAGACAAAGAAGAAAAAGAGGAAGATGAGGCAGTGTGAGAGAGTGAGAGGGAAATGGAGAGAAAGAGAGAGAGAGAGGGAGAGGGAGAGAGAGACGAAGAAGAAGAGAAGACATACCTGTGTGCGTCTTCTATTGTGCCGCTTGAGGTTGTGAAGTGAGAGAATGAGATGAATATTAGGTCAATCCTTGTTTATTCACCTAAAAGGGCCTGCCAACTGTTGAACATAAAAAATAAAAATTAAAAAACAGTTTCAAAACTACGTCATTTTGACCCTCAATTTATTGGCGACGAAAATTATTAGGTTGCTATAAATATCGCTTACCTTTCCGCGACTATTTTAATTCTGTCGCCAAAAATTTACAATTGGCGACCAAAAATTTTGTCGCTATATGTTAATTTGGTCACGAAAACATTTTTAGTGCTCCCGCGCAAAAATTTAAGTTGGCGCCAAACGTTTTTAGCGACCAATTGAGATATTGGTCGCCAATAGTTTATTTTTTGGTGACCAACAAGTATATTGTCGCCAAAAATATACAATTCTCAATTTATTGGCGACGAAAATTATTAGGTTGCTATAAATATCGTTTACCTTTCCGCGACTATTTTAATTCTATCGCCAAAAATTTACAATTGGCGACCAAAAATTTCGTCGCTATATGTTAATTTGGTCACGAAAACATTTTTAGTGCTCCCGCGCAAAAATTTAAGTTGGCGCCAAACGTTTTTAGCAACCAATTGAGATATTGGTCGCCAATAGTTTATTTTTTGGTGACCAACAAGTATATTGTCGCCAAAAATATACAATTGGCGACAAATTTCAATTTGGTTGCTAAAAAACGTCGCCAAAAATGCTTTTTGTTGTAGTGTGATTGTGCACAATCGTAACAGATAACCATATAGGTTTCACAAATAATTCCATGAATGGAACCCACAGAGATCCCTGGTACTAGGTAACAGATAACAGATAACATATTTACATGATGCTAAGAATGCCATGATACATTTTAGAAATTGGACAATTATTCATCTATATAGAAAATATCATTTCAGAAAACAAAGCTATCATATCCATTAGAAAATACTTATAATTGAACATATCTCTACAAGGTTGTTACTTACAGATAGCTCTAGAAGTAGAACAAACAAATCAGACAGACGGTAGCACGTGACCTACACAAACACATGATAGACGCATTCAAACACACGCTCTGTAAACACTTGTCTTATTTCATTTATTTCTAGGTGTGTTTCTAACTCTTATCCTCATTATTATAGCCTAAACCATGGCTTAAGAATGCTTAAGATGGAACGTGGATGTAATTATGCACTTTGAAACACTTTGCAAAATTTTAGAAAACAAGATAGTTCGCTCGAATAAAGTTTTGGTCACTCGAGCAGACCCCTTGGTCTGCAAAAGTACTGGATGCTCTCATTTTACGCTCGAGCCAACTTTTTGGTAGCTCGAGCCAAGGTTCAAAACAAAGGGTGGTCGCTCGAGCTGTCTTTTGGTTGCTTGAGCCAACAATCAAACTCTACAAAAGTACTGAGAGCTTGCAAAGTACACTCGAGCAAAGGAACCATCGCTCGAGCGAACCCTGCGAATTCTGGAATTTCCATATTACATTACTAAGTCCAAAACACAAATCCAATGCACCAAGACTCATTCTTTTGGGCCAAAACTTGAGAAAACATGTAGAAACTCATATAACAACATGAATTGAAAATCATTTTGGAAAATCAAGGTCTAAAGCTCAACTAATTCTTCAAAGCCAAATCAAAACTTTATATCAAATACATGCATGCAATGTTTTGAGTCTAAACTATTAAAATCAAGAGCAAATGAGATGTTAAGGACAAAATCACGTAGGACACTTAAAATTATGCAAGTCTAGGCCCATGCATGTGAGTATTTGTTGAAAATTAATCTCAAAATGGATGCATTATGCATCTATGCTTGGTTTGACTTAAATTCCATTATTCCTAACTCAATTCTTGGACTTATTCACTAAATCTTCTTGAATTCATGCTCTTGATGACTCATATACTTAGTTTATTGGTTGAATTCTTACCTTAATTGCATTTTAAATGGTCAATTTCTTGAGCTTCCAAGCCCATTCTTCTAAATGCCTTCTAATGCTCTACAATCTCCTTTTTAAGCTTGAATTCACTCACTTTCTAAGTTTTCTCTCTCTCTCTCTCTCTCTCTCTCTCTCTCTCACACACACACACACACACACACACACACACACACACACACACA